CCTCGCAGCGCTCCATGAAGCGACGGACGTCACGGATGTGGTCCTCCCTGGTCCGACTGTAGACCACGACGTCATCCACGATCTTCTTGTAGCCGGTGAGGCCGGAGAACGCCTCGTCCATGCGCCTGTTGTAGTGGTCAGATATCGAACTGACCCCGTACGGCGCGCGTAAAAACGCGTACCGGCCGAACGGCGTGATGAACGTCGTCTTCAGCACGCTGTCCTGATGAAGAGGGCACTGGTGGTAGCCCTTTGCCGCGTCGAAGACGGCGAACCACTTCGCCTCCGAGCTCGCTATAGAGGCAACTTCCTCCAGCGGGGTGGGTGCCTGGTACTGCTCGGTGCGGACGAACTTGTTCATGCGAGACAGGTCCACGCACAGCCTGATTCCTCCCTCCTTCTTCGGTTCAACGACGATCGGTGCACACCACTCAGTCGGCTCCGTGACGGGCACGATGATGCCCTCGGACACCAGCTTTTGCAACTCGTCCTTCAGCGGCGTGCGGAGTGAGAGGGGCACTCGTCGTGGGCTCGACACGCGGAACGGCACGGCTTCCTCCCTGAGGTGAATCTTGAACTGCTCCCCCGGCATGACTCTGATGTGGCCATCGAACACGGTGGGGAACTCGGACGTGATGTCCGGGAAGGAGCCTCCCTGGTCCACAGGCGGCTCTGCTGACCCGTCTTCAGATGCAGGTGCACCGGTCGGAAGGCTGCTGTCAGGCCGCTCGACAGGTGTCGCCGCGGTCGCCTCTCCAGCAGCGCCGTCGCGCGACACCGCCGCCACGCAGTCCGATGACGTGCCACCGTCGGGCAGCGCGGCGCGAGACCGGTGCCGATGCCGCGCTGGCCCCGGCTGAGGGCGGTCTGGTGCGTCCCTGGTGCGAGAGCCAGAGGCGGGTTCCGGTAGATCGGCGGTTATCTGCTGCGGATAACCGGCTGGAATGATGTGAAGTCCCTTCACGGCCTTCCAGGAGAGCAGCAGGCCGCTGACGCCCTCCAGGATGTGCACCGACTCCTGCACCGAGACGCGGCCGAGACTCAGCGAGACCGGCAGGACTCCCAGCGACTTGACCGTCTCGCCGTTGGCTGTCCGAGGATGCTGCTCCGGGGGGAGCAGGTTCTCCGGGTACTCGTCCATCTCCTTCAGGAAGTCGAGTCCTCCGACGCAGATGTCAGCCCCGGTGTCAGGCAGCGCGAGTACCGAGGCGCGGCGCTGCGCCGTGACATCCAGGCGCACGCGGGGGGCGCTCTGCACCGAAGCGACCGCGATGATGGCCGACGCGGCCGGTCGCCGCGCCGCACCGTCCGGGCTCCGGTCACTGCTGCCCTCCGACGACTGGAAGCGGACCCGGGTGCCGCGCCACGGCTGGCGCCGTTGCGATCGCCGCGTGTCCAGCGACGGGGACGGCGATCTCGACGACGAGCGGTACGGGTCGGGCCTGTAGCTCCGCCCAGGTGGCGAGCTCCGCGGCCGAGACGGGGCCAGCCGGCGGCGCTCGTACGACGTGGTCGGTCGGCGGTCATCGTAGTCGCCGGATGCGTCGGGGCAAATTGCCGCGAAGTGGTCCAGCTGACGGCAGCTGCGACAGCGCTGACCCCGGGCCGGACACGCGTCTCCCATCCGGTGACGTCGCCGGCCGCACGCAGCGCACCAGCCGCCGTCGCGCCGCCTCGGTCCAGCGCTCGGCGGCGCTCGGTGGCGCTCGGCGGCGTCCACTCGGTGGGCGGCGGCCCGGGCGAGTCCGCCTGCCCGCAGCTCCACGGCGTCTCTGGCGGCCGCCTCGTCGGCCCTGCAAACAGCGATGGCATGCGACAGCGAGAGGTTTTGGACGGCGCAGAGTCGTTTGACGGTCTCCGCTGATCTCAGACCCATCACAATCCTATCCCTGATTAGCGAATCATTACACGCGTCACAAAATTTGCAAGCACGAGACAATTCACGCAGGAAGGTTAGAAAATCATCAAAGACCTCCCCTTCAGTCTGAAACCTTTCGTTAAACCTCTTCCTTTCGATAACCTCGTTTACTTGGCTCACTGCGAAACGCTCCAGCGCGTCCAGTACAACCTCGGGATCGGCACGCTGGACCTCGGTCAGCTCCAGGTTCCTCAGGACGCGGCGACTCTCCGGGGTCATGACATTTTTCAGGGCAGCCAGCTGAATGTCAGGTTCAGCGTCTATCAAGCCGGTCAGGAGCACGTAGTCCTCCCAGCTTTCTCTCCACACCAGGAAAGACTCACCCCGGTCCGTGGAGAGGTCCAGGCTGTCCGGTGCTCGTACTCGGCCCGCCCACGGGGCCGGCGCGCTGCGGGACGCACGACCGCGGCCGGCCCGCTGCCGCGGCGCGGCAGCCCGAACCGCGACGGAAGCGGCCGGCTCCCGAGACGCATCCGCTACGCTGTCGGCGTCAGAGTCCCCCATTGCTGGGTCGAAAATGCACAATAATTATGCACGTCGCCCTGTCACACTTGCACTGGTAATCGCACGTTCACGACCCTGCCGGCTGCGCCATGTGAAGACGCCTCTGAACCGGTGCAGGTGTATTGTTCACAGCGAGCGAGCGTGGCGCGGACCCAGTAGAGACTGACGCGGCCCCGCACGGTCCGGCCGGGAGCCGCCGCCGGACCGTGCCCCGAGGGCACACACGGTCGTAGAGATGCAAACCCCAGGTACAGACTGGGGATGCACACCACCACAGCCATGTCCTGAGCTTGGTTGAAATTCTTCCATGCATTTAAAAATAATCGCGAAAAATTAGGGTCTCAAGAGGTCTGGCGTTAACATTAGTGTCTGCCGCACTGGCAGCACCGAGAGCCCGCTCACTCGCGCCCACCCCTCTCCTCCCCCCCCAAGGGTCAGGCGATCCAGTGGCCCTCAAACCTGACCGCCCTCCGCTGCGCCGGTTCACCAGCGCCACCCTGCCATGCTGCGGTACTTTCAAGACAGACTGTACCTACCTACTCAAATTTTATTTTAATGAATTTCGATGTATTTTAACGCGGTGTGTTTTAGGCTTTTAGTTTTGGCTTTTACTGTCTGTTCACTTTTACTGTGTGATTTTGTCTTTATTAGGTCGTTCAATAAGTAACGAACAATCGGTCATAACTTCTTTATTTCTTTATTTAATACTTTAAAACTTTCACAGAATATAGATCAGACATTTCCGAATGCAGCCTATGCCTCAAACCAGTCGCCGCCCGCCTGCACACACTTCTCCCAGCGTTCCGGCCAACGCCGGAATTCCGCCCGGAAAAACGTGTTTTCCGTCTTTTTCACCCAGTTCATGACAGCGCACATGACTTCAGCGTCGGTCTCGAAGTGTTCACCATGGAGGCCATCCTTTAGGGGACCAAAGAGGTGAAAATCTGAAGGAGCCAGGTCCGGACTGTAGGGCGGCTGGGGCATGATATTCAGCCCTGTCGGCTGTCACGCGATCTCCTCGCGCGTGGCGTGAGACAAGTGCGGTCGGGCGTTGTCATGATGTATGGTGATGTTGTTGACATCCGAGCCGCGCCTCTTCTTCAGGATTGCTTTTCTCAGTCTCCTGCAGGAATGTGATGTAGCGGCCCGCTGTCCATAGTCCGCCCAGGTTCAAGAAAGCCCACCAGGATGACACCATGACAACGCTCGTCCGCACATGTCTCACGCCACACGCGAGGAGATCGCGAGACAGGGCTGAATATCATGTCCCAGCCGCCCTACAGTCCGAACCTGGCTCCTTCAGATTTTCACCTCTTTGGTCCCCTGAAGGATGGCCTCCGTGGTGAACACTTCGAGACCGACGCTGAAGTCAGCTGCGCTGTCAAGAACTGGGTGAAAAAGACGGAAAACGCGTTTTTCCGGGCGGAATTCCAGCGTTGGCCGGAACGCTGGGAGAAGTGTGTGCAGGCGGGCGGCGACTGGTTTGAGGCAAAGGCTGCATTCAGAAATGTCTGATCTATAATCTGTGAAAGTTTGAAAGTGTTACATAAAGAAATAAAGAAGTTATGACCGATTGTTCGTTACTTATTGAACGACCTAATATATAATGACGTGGATGCCATAGAACCCATAAAAGTGGAGGCACCGAATACACTCTATCTATGGAAAATACCCCAATCATGCGTGGGTTGAAGGACCGTGCCCCCCCCCTGCACGTGCCAGGTGTACCCTACGGTGTTAAAATTGCCGAACAATATAAGATTTATGCTTATTGCTTATGGCCGGTAAGTTTCAGACGAATTGGTTCAACCAGTTGGCCTGCAGTCCTTGCACTTATCAGCGGTGTATAATTTGCTTGCACGTGTAGGTATATTACGTGCACTGTGCACCCTATGTTGGTCATTTTATACCAACGCGAAGCACTCGTCAAGTTCTACCAGTGCGCCAAATTTTATGCCGCTAGCTCAAACTTTATCTAGACCAGAGGATCCCCGGTCAAAAAAGAAATCCGCCTGGTACGTGCCAACTGCCACGTGTACTCCATGGTGCCAGAATTGCCAAAGGATGGAATTGCTTGCCTTCTGCTTATGGTCGGCAAGTTGCGGACTGATTGGCTAAACCAATTGGTCTACATCCCTGGCAATACGTAGGAGGGGTAAAAACTGTTCGCACTTGTATAGCACGTCCACCACTCACCCCATCACGACCATTACATGACCTTGGAGCGCTTCTGGAGTTCTACCAGTGTGCCAAATTTGAAATTATCTTTCCGTACACACTGCACACTGCACAGTCTAGATATAGTCTATGGGTGTATATTGGTGTGCCATTAAGACTGCACTACTGGGAGGCCCGCGGTAGCTCAGCCCCATCGTAGACAAAGTCCTTGGCGCCGCGCCTGCATACTCTGCTGATATTGTTAAAAGGCACCATACAAAAAATGCTAAAAATTTGGTAACGTTGCAGCCAATGGTTTGTCCTCTTCGAATGAAGTAGGTAGTGTTGTATGTGCGATGTGGCTGCGCTCAGCTGGCTGTACCCACTGACTGGCGCGTTGCGCGCGTCTGTGCGGTCTCAGGCGTGCCCCGAGCCGCCGCTGCCCGACAGTCTGGTACACCGGCTGCACGTCTGTCTCTCGGAGCCCGTCTGCTATGACGAGATGGCCGTGAGCTTCTCCCGCCTACAGCAGGACTGTCGCGACTACCTGGCTCTGCTCAGACACTATAATCTGCCCGTGGACGACAGCCTCCAGGTGAGCCGTGGGCGTGCAGACGGCGGCTCGCCCCGCCCGCAGTGGCGTTTCATAGCCGCTAGCGTAAGGTCGATCGGACCTCCAACCACTCGAGTTATAGCTTCGCGGAAGAACGAGTGTGCTTCCCGAGGCTGCATAGTGTTGTGATTACTGATAAAAGTGGACTGTATTTATTACATTTACGTCTTTCGATCAGAACGATGGTGACGACACCAACCGAACGATTTGCCTTGATTTTCAAAATAACAAGAAATTAACTCAAGTGGATCCACTGGCGGTCGCAGCCGCTAGCAAAAGGGGGGCCAAAGTCACACTCGCGGGACATAACATTTTTCCGTCACCGGGAGGGGGGGGGGGGGTGATCGGCTAATTTTGTTACGTCCACGAGGTGCCGCGCATTTGGCATTACTTATGCTTCATCCATCTGATTCTTGCGTGAAATCTTTAAGCTCAATTTAAGGCAAAATCACCAGTTCCATTTCCCGTCCCACGGTGCTTCCACCGGTCGGCCCACTGCACCATGACGACGGATCGGTGTAGCATAGGTATAGGGGAGAGAGGTCATATTGCGCCATGTTCTTAAATGCGCCACACCTTCCTCCTGCCCAAAATTCGATTCGAACGAATACTCGAATGTGTGCATTTACTTCACCACCAATAACTCGCTCTTATTCCGGTCCACGGGGGCAGGTGAGGTGTCTCAATTTTCTCGCAGACAATTTTTTGTGATTTCCTCTATTTTCTTACGCGAAAGTCTATTTCGACCCTTGCTAGTGTCATGCCTTATCTTAGAGATAGTGATTGAACTAATAATCATTGTTAATTGCTTGTTTAATGGTAGTTTTGAACGTTTATCACCACCGTGGCTTCGCTGTCGTCGCCATATTTGAAGCTCATGAAAAATGTGTTCCATTCGTAATTGCGCCCACCCTATTTGCGCCCTATTCTTCAACCCAGAGAAACAGCATCTGGTGGTTGGGACACATTTCATTGAACACTTTGATTATTAGAGCGCTCACCTTACCATTACATTAGCCTTCACAGCATAAATGGTTAATGGGCTGACACGTTCAAATAGGCTACTTAGTTAGGTGACAAACCGTTGTTTTTAATAGGGCGCTTTTACATGAGAGGCATGGACGCTTTTTGATGGAGGAGTCCGTAAATGCGCCCTTTGCAGATGTGCCGGAAAGCTTTTCTCTTGTTAATTTTTCTGGGTGTGATACAAATTGGGAGTTGTTATTTGATGCCAAAATAACTGAGGTACAACTTGAGATATCATCAAACATGACAGCTGGTCAACTTTAGCCGCAATAGGCCGATATCCTTAAGGTGGCGCAATATGACCTCTCTCCCCTACTGGAATGTCAGGCACGCGGATTCATGACCTTACCACTATAAAACAATTCGGAAAAGTACAGATACCTCTTGCTTTGAATAAGCATGTGAAACCCAGAGAGCATTTTCAGACTATGACATTTACCCATATAGGTAACATGTCTAGTTGTGTGGCGGCGGGAGAGAGTAGGTACACCGACCTCTGGAGACCCCCCACAGGTTCCAAGCTTTCAAAATTGGCATCTGAGGGCCGCGCGCGACTCCTGCGGGGCTTCGCAACGGCTCTAATGGGGCTCACTCAACCTGCCTAGTCTTACTGCTAAAAAGACTGGCCCTGAGCCCTAAGGACTTCATCAGTCTCTGCCAGCCCCAGGACCCACACCGGCTCATGGGGTCCCGGCGTCGAAATATGAGGGAATCTGCGCGGGACCATCAGGACGTAAAGTAATCTCGATCAGGACCAACGTAAGGCTGTGCCGGAGACTGCGTGAGCCCTCTGATCTTCAGAAACCCACCCATGTATGTTTTCACGTAGAGGCCAGTTTAGGGCCCTCAGAGACCAGTACAGGGCCTGCAAACTACAAAGGCCAGTAGTTGGAGACAATCAGTGACCGAGTTGGGCTCTCAGAGGCTAATGTGGGTCATTACAGGCCAACATGGGCCCTCAGAGGTCAGCGTGGGGCCCTAAAAGCGTGCCGGTCCCGTAGCTCAGTTGGTTAGAGCGTTGGACTCCGCGTGGTGAGAGCACGCGTTCCCGGTTATGACAGTCCGGGATCGAAGCGCGACGGGCGCTCGACATTTATGTGCCTCCTGACAGGTATGGTTGCGGTTGGTGGCAGGCCGTAGCCAGGCGAAGTCAGCGAGGGGACCGGCCGTGCGCGGCTTTGTGCGCACGTTAAACTTTGGACTCTAAATCCTGCCATAGAATCGGAATTGCGCGATCGGAGGGTAGAGGGCAGGGTCATCGCAACAAGCTTCGCTTAGCGGTGGCTCCGTCCTTGTGAATCCTTCCCATCAAAAGGTTCGGGCTAAATTTATAAAAAAAGACCGGCATGAGCCGTCGTTGGACCCCAGAGGCCAGCAGAGGGTCCTCAAAGGCCAAGATGGGCCCTCCTCAGAGGCCAATGCAGGCCCTTAGAGGCCAGCATCGGGTCTTCAGCAGCCAGTGCGGGTCCCTCATTGGCGCCTAAAGGTTCGTCTTGGGACACCACAGACAGAAATAAGGCCACCAGAGACCGGTGTGAGACCCTCAGACGCCGGTTGGGACCCCTGAGGCCGGTTAGGGGCCCTCATAGGCCAGATGTGGGGTCTCAGCATGGGTGTAACTTTGTATACTTTCGAGGTCCCATGTGGGACCCCAATGCGAACATTTGGGACCCCAATTGTCATTTTGGGACCCCAATAGTGGAGGCCCCCGAGACGCATCAGCTACTTTGCAAACGGAGGTCCGATATTCATATAAAAGGTTCTCTGTTTAAATAGGAGGCCCCTTGGACAAATCGGAGGCCCTGTTGGACAAATAGGAGGCCCCCTGAACAAGTAGGAGGCCCCCTGAACAAGGAGGCCCCCTGAACAAGTAGGAGGCCCCCTGAACAAGTAGGAGGCCCCCGGAAAACAGGAAGTCCCCTGGAGAAATAGGAGGCTCTCTGGACAAGTAGGAGGCCTCCTGGACAAATAGGAGGCCCTAGACAAATAAGAGGCCCCTAGACAAATAGTAAGCCCCATGGACAAGTAGGAGGCCCTCTGTACAAATAGGAGGCCCCCCTGCAAAAATAGGAGGCCCCCTGGACAAATAGGAGGTCCTAGACCTAGACAAACAGGAGGCCCCTTTCACAAAAGGAGGCCCCTGGACAAATAGGAGGCCCCATGGACAAGTAGGAGGCCCTCTGTACAAATAGGAGGCCCCTGCAAAAATAGGAGGCCCCCTGGACAAATAGAAGGTCCTAGACCTAGACAAAAAGGAGGCCCCTTTCACAAAAGGAGGCCCCCTGGACAAATAGGAGGCCCCTTTCACAAAAGGAGGCCCCTGGACAATTAAGAGGCCCCCTGAACAAGGAGGCCCCCTGGATAAAGAGGAGGCCCCCTAAAAATAGGAGCCCTCTGGATAAATAGGAGGCCGCTTGGAAAATAAGAGGCTACTTTAACCAATAGGAGGCCCCTTGGACAAATAGGAGGCCCCCTGAACATGTAGGAGGCACGCTGGACAAATAGGAGGCCTCTTGGGCAAAGAGGCCCCCTAGAAAAATAACAGGTCCCTTGGACAAATAGGAGACCCCCTGGACAAATAGGGGACCTCTTGAACAAATAGGAGGCTCCATGGACAAGTAGGAGCTAGAGGCTCTCTGTACGAATAGGAGGCCCCCTGGACAAATAGAAGGCTCCCTTAACAAAAAGGAGTCCCTTAAAAAAAGGAGGCCCCGGGACAAGTAGGAGACCCTTGGACAAATAGGAGGCCCCTGCACAAATATGAGACTCCTAGTCGAATAAAAGACCCCTGGATAAATAGGAGGCCCCTGGACAAATAGGAGGCCCCTGAACACGTAGGAGGCCCCCTAGATAAAGAGGAGGCCCCCTGGAAAATAGAAGCCCCCTGGATAAATAGGGGACCTTCTGGAGAAACAGGAGGCCTCCTGGACAAATAGGAGGTCCCATAGACGAATAGGAGGCCGCTTGGACAAATAGGAGGCGCCGTTAACCAATAGGAGGCCCCCTAGACAAACAGGAGGCCCTCTGTAACAGTAGGAGGCTCTCTGTACGTACAAGAGACCGGCGCTGTAGAAGCTTAGCCGTATGTACGCTAGGAGGCTCTCTGTGCAAGTAGTCGAAGTAGGAGGCTCTCTGTACTGTACCTACAATTACAAATAAGAGGCCCCCTGGGTAACTTAGATGCAACACAAATCGGAGGTCACCTATAAAAAAGCGGGACTCTGTTGGAATACCTGATTTAATAAATTATTTTCCTGATATTCAAATTACTTAGGTAATCCTCGTCCGCACATGGTGGGGGGGGGGGGGCAGTGGTTGCCACACCCCCCACCCCGACCTAGGTAGTTTTTTTTCTGCTCTGCACTAAACATTTTGATTGCTAGAAGTCGGATATTTCGTATAGCTGCTGCTCTATCCTTTTTTAGCGTCCACTGAAAATTTCAAGTTTCTGTGGTTTTTGGTTTCGGAGATATGACCTTATTCTTCAGGTAATGTCATAACCCAAATGACAAATACCCAATATCTTGCGTTGGCGTTGGGTCTTGTGAGCTTTTGACACCTTGATTTCGGCCTTTTTTGTCAGTCTTACCTCCCACCTATCATGGAACATGTTGTTCAATGATGTAGAGATGCCAGGGTCAGGGTCAAGGTCAACCTAGGTCGTCTAAAAATATTGCGTTTTAGGCAAGCTGAATTTACTTTCGTGAAGTTTCTTTGACTGTATTTTTGGCAAAAGCTTCTCAGTTCATGATCTCATGTAATATGGACACATTCACAGTCGGTGCACACATCAGTATACTCGTACACACAGACACACACAGACATACAAACACATGTCATTGACCTTGAGCTAACTTGACCTGAAATGACCACAGCCAGCAAAAACCTAGTCGGATAGTGTGACAAAGAGGTTCTAGCTGGCTTGGCACCACAATACGGCAGCGTCATCGGTACAT